AAATAGGGGTTTTATTAGGGGTACAATTGAAATTCATGTCTTACTGATTTCTGTATGTGAAACGCGTTGGCATTGCTGTTGATTATTAGTATTGTTGTATATTTTATCCACGCTGCTTGTTATTGGGGTTTTTTCTGGATTTACTGCAGAACGTTTTATATCATCCACTTATCATAGCGACATTGCGTTTAACATATTTAATTATGTTCAGTTTTATGAAACAGTTTCGGTTTGCATTGGCTCCTTGATTTGTTACTGCAGTTTTTTTTTTTAAACAGGGCAAAAACAGTATTGGACAAACGAAAATTACCATCTGACGGGTGGACATTAATTATAACTGTAATTTCACAAATATATATAAATTTATTATTTTACAAATTTTAAAGTTTCTTATTTAAAAATTTAAAAATAAATTTACTATAATAAAAGATATAAAATACAAACTCATACTAATTATTATATTTACAGATATAAATATTTTATATAACAGAAAACAATTGATCAGTATTTGATTTATATGTCAATTAAATACCTTTTTATTTGATAGCATTTTAAAAGAGATTAATTTTAGGTTATTTCCCTTAACACTATTGACTTTTTATAAGGGAAGTAGCCACCACAATATATTCTCTAAGTAAATTTTATTTCTGTTTCTTGTATACGAAATATAGAGGAGGTATAGGGCTGGTAAGAAGGTCACCAACCAGTTCTATGGCTTATGCAGGTTTTATTGAGCCGTAGAACTGGTTGATGGCCTACTTACCAGCCCTATTGTAATCGTGGAAAAAAAAATGGAAAGGACTTCTTGGCGCTTTACATCCTACTGACTCGGAAAAACGCATTTCTGCAACCTTGTCTGTATTTATGTCTGTGTGTGCGTAGTTATGTGTATATGAGAACACAAGAACTTAAATACCGTCTTAGTTAGATTGATGACATTTCACATATCATTATATGCAATGTAGTTTTAAGAGATTTCAGTTAACTGGAAGTGGTACTTACTCCATTTCTCAAAAACCGTCTGAGTTAGGTGGACAAATTTTATACTTACGTATACAATTGTATAATTAGGTTTCTTTTCATTTTGAGAAAACCTCCGATATTCCGAAAGTGTACTTTACCTTAGTTCCAGTTTCTAAATTCATTGATAAGTAGTAAGTGTACTTTATCCTAGTTCCGGTTTCTAAATTCATTTATGAGTATTAATGTCCTGTAAGTGGATTTTTAGCAACTTTTGATCGATTGCAGGATGGGATACTTTTATTTTATTTTCATTTTTTTACTAGTAAATTTTTATATTTCTATAGCCCGATTCCACAGCAGGTACCACCTCCAACACTTACTCTTATGTAAGGATATGCTTGAAAGTTTAGGGGAGCTCACTCCTGCTTTAATATTACAATCACACAAAATGGCGTTACATTTATTTAAGTAGATTACCATCAAATGCTTGTATTTTGTACTTATTTTTATACAGCACCATTCTCTGAAGCTTTTCAGCGACTTCCCAGAAGGTGCACCCCCAGTTTAAAAAACCGCCACGCCACCCCCCCCCCCCTTCCCCCTCATTTAAAGTTTGCTTAACTGCAATTTTTTAAAATGTTTTAATCCTACGTAGCTTCACTTCTAGTATGAAAGTTGATAACGATATCATTGTTTTCAATACACTCTCTCTAACTCCAGCCTATAGACCACCACATAGACCACCATACACTTTCTAACACACATATACCTCACACACACACACCGCCAAGCATAGACAACCACTCATAGACCACCCAACAGACCACCACACAGAACACCACAACACTCAGACCACCACACAGACCACCACACAGACCACCACACACACGCAACCAAAAACCAGCACTACACGCATGACTACACATGCCATAAATTACATATTGCTTGAACGATGGAGATGACATTAGGTATACAATGTCATTACACCTACCACGTCATTTTCTATACATAAAATAGTTTTTATCATAAACCCAGAAGTCCTGTAAGAAGAGGGTTTTAAGGTTTTGTGATTAACGAGCCGATCCGCGTCGTATCATACGCCGCTATTTAGTTGTTGTTTTTTCTTCTTTTCAGTAATTCATAATTTGTTAATTCGACAGTACTAATGCTGCCACTGAAAATATATTTGCTTTAAAACACTAAAACCCTCCTCCCCCCCCCCACCCAACCCCACCCACGTGAAAGCAGCCTCCACTTAGTTACCTCCCCTAAGTATAAAATAGTTTTAAACTAAATTATCTGCCCCTAATAGCCGTCACTAAACCCGGTTCTACGATGTAAACATTTAGCGTGAACTACAGCTCACCAGACCATGTGGGAGTGGGGGAAGTTGCGATATGCCTATAGAGGAAGGGAGTGGACTGCTAGGCGCGCTTAGAGCTTGTTTTCTAGCGTCTCCCAGAAGAGAATTATATATACGAGCTGACCCGCGGCGTATCATACGCCGCTATTTAGTTGTTTTATTTTCTACTTTTCAGTAATTCATAATTTGTGAATTCGACAGTACCACTACTGTCACTGAAAATATATTTGCTTTAAAACACTATCAGTAAGTCGTTAAGGACGATAACCGCCCCCCCCCCTTTCCCCCAACTCCAACACCCCTTCCCCCCCCCCCCCCCCCGTTAAAGCAGCCTCCTCTTAGCTACCTCCCCTAAGTTTAAAATCGTTTCAAAACTAAATTATCTGCCCTTAATAGCCGTCACTAAACCCGGCTCTACGATTGTAAACACTTAGCGTGAACCACAGCTCACCTGACTTTCTAGAGAGGAAGAGAGGGGACTGCAGGGCGCGCTTACAGCTTGTTTTCTAACGTGTCCAAGAAGAGAATTATATATATAGATAGAAGATTTGATTTTTTTTTTAAAGTTCTCTAATTAGCTAGTTTGTATCTTTAATAAATGAGTGTGTCGATCTGAAAATTATATTTTGGAATGATGTGTCTGTGTTACTATTGCAGCTTTATCATGAAAGGTTTGATTTGCAGTAGTGTTATTTGTCGAGGTTGTGTTTTATTGTAATGTTCAGTATTGTCTAATTTTATTTGTCGTCTTTTGTCGACTCGCTGGTATAGGTTATAGGTTGTCCCATAATTTCTGGTTTCGTTATTGTTTCTTTTTATTGTTTTATTTTTTTCTTCCTGCAGAACGTTTTATATCATCCACTTTTCATAGCGACATTGCGTTTGACATATTTAATTATGTTCTGTTTTTGTACTCGAACATGAAACTTACGGTCTCGGTTTGCCTTGGCTCCTTGGTGGCTTTAATACCAACCATTTAGTGAACCGGACGTTATTGTAGTTGTTTTTTTTAGACAGGGTAAAATTATTATTGGAATAAACAAAAATTGCCGAATTTCTAATCAACCATTGAATTATTTTGAAATTTCACATATATATAAGATTGTTATTTAATAACAAATTTTAAAGTTTCTATTTTTAAAATAATACATTGTATTAAAAAATAAAAAATACAAATTAATACAAATTATTATATATTCTTATAGAATTATTTTATGTAACAAAAAATTGTTGATCGGTTTTTGTATTTTATCACAAGTAAATATCATTGTATTTTATAGCATTTTAAAAGAGATTAGCTTTAAGTTATTTCCCTTAATACAGGGGTCGGCAACCTGCGGCTCGCGAGCCGCATGCGGCTCTTTTGATATCAAGATGCGGCTCTCCAGCTCCTTGCACAAATACTAATAATGTTAATAAAAAAATAAAATATTTAAAATAAAAAAATGTTAGTGGCTCTTTAAAACCAGGGAAATTTTGAAAATTGTAACTTTTGGCTCTTCCGCTTCAAAAGGTTGCCGACCCCTGCCTTAATACTATTGACTTTTTAAAAGGGAAGTAGCCACCAAAATATATTCTCTAGGTAAATTTTATTTCTGCTTCTAGTATAAGAAATATAAAGGAGGTATAGGGCTGGTAAGTAGGTCACCAACTAGTTCTATGGCTTATGCAGGTTATATTGAGCCGTAGAACTGGTTGATGACCTACTTACCAGCCCTATTGTAATCGTGGAAAAAATTGAAATGACTTCTTGGCGCTTTACTGATTCGGAAAAACCCATTTCTGCAATCTTGTCTGTATGTATGTCTGTTTGTGCGTAATTATGTGTATATGTGAACGCAAGAACTTAAATACCGTTTTAGTTAGATTGATGACATTTCACATATCATTATATGCAATGTAGTTTTAAGAGATTTCTGTTAACCGAAAGTGGTACTTACTTTACTTCTCAAAAAGCGACAACTTAAGAACCGTTTCAGTCAGGTGAACAAAATTTCATACATAAGTGTACAATTGTATGATTATGTTTCTTTTAATTTTTTAATGATTCCCGATATTCGGAAAGTGTACTTTACCCTAGTTCCGGTTCCTAATTTCATTTATAAGTGTTAAGATCCTGTAAGTGGATTTCTTGCAACTTTTGATCGATTGCAGGTAACTGGACGGTATACTTTTATTCTATTTTCAATTTCTTATTAGTATACTATATTCTCATAAAGCAACATAATCTAAGAACGTCTCGACGCTAAATATTTTCACGAAAATATGGCCCGATTCCACAGCAGGTACCACCTCCAACACTTACTCTTATGTACGGATATGCTTGAAAGTTTAGGGGAGCTCATTCCTGCTTTAATATTGCAATTCGTTTACATGTAAACTCTAAAAACTTTTCGCGCCCCCCTTATCCTTTCCAGAAGGCGCGTCCCCCAGTTTAGAACCCCCCCCCCCCTTTCCACCTCATTAAAAGTTTGCTTAACTGCAATAGAAATTTTTTTTTTAATCCAACATAACTTAACTTCTAGTACGAAAGTTGTTAACGATATCGATCTTTTCAATACACTCTCTCCATCTCCAGCCTATCTCGCTGTTTCTTCAGTCGTCTATCATGGATTCGGATCACTCATTGACCTTTACTACAGTAAAGCAGAAATGTTATCGACCATTCCGATCATCATCTTTTCCTTTCTGTGCCCAAGACACATGGGGCCGCTACAGAAAGCTCTATCCACTTTGGCGGGTTTCTAGCATTTTTCTTGGTAGTCCTCAAGATAATCCTGCTTTTGTCAGTTGCTTTTCTGATGTGCACTGGTAAATTATATCGCATTTCCAATGATAAATCACAACTTCTATTGCAGTTAATGTTATCTCTTGTAGATAACACAATGAAATACATTGTGGAAACTTTGACGCTAGTTAAGATTACTTGTACAATAGCAGAATTGACGTATTTCTTTGTTCTTGTCTAGTATACAACCGGCATCATTACCGTACTTGTTAATCATGCTAATCGCCTTAGGATTAACGACCATGTCGTCCGCATACAGCAGGTGCTCCAGTGTGAGTTCGAATCCCACGTGGCCGGGCTCGGTGTGAAACGTCAACTGATAGAGCTTCCTCTCGTGTTTCATCACGTGATTAGACATAACAGGGTCAAGGTCAAGGTTAGCCCGGTTGACCTTCAGGACGTCCTCGCTGACCACAAGTTTGCTGACCATCGTGACGTTGCTGATGGTCAAGCTGGCGCAGAGTGTCCTGTAACCCCGGGTTAGATTGTTGATAGCGTCAATCGCCGTTGTTAGAGCACGCCGTGCGTCCGGCTCTGACGCGCTGACTCTCTGCCACGCCAAACATGCGCACCAATGCGGCGCAATGCCTGCATGCTCGCAAGTCCTAGTCCTCGGAATCTCCTTAAATAAACTAATCCCCCTGTTTATGACGTCACCCAAACCTGCGCCGTCGTACCTAAGCACGTCTTTAAACGTCTCGTGAAGGTCAAAGGGCGAGGTCAGCCTGTGGACGTTGGTTCTCAAATTCTTGACGGCACTCGGATATTTTTTCTCAAACCAAGGCGGCAATCTGAGACTGACGTAAGGTAGACGTTCTTCCAGTTTGCCAGGAAGGGTTTTTCTCGCTGGAGAATATCTGGCACCGTGGTCTGCCATTACAAATAGAAGAGTGTTGTTCAGGAACCCACCGTTTTCTAAATTTTCTAGAAAATTCTTCAAATCGTCATCAGCCTAAGGTGAAAACAAAAACAAAAATATTTGTTGATATTAATCTGCGATGTAATAATTATCATTAAATGTCTATTAAAAATTATGTACCCAATTTAAAAAAAAATATCAATTTATTGTACAAGTTATCTGAAATTTTTCAACAACTGAAATAAGTATGCTGATTTATGTAATCCATACTCTTTTGTCTTTCTGAAATCGTGCAAGAGAGAGTATTTGTGGGACTAAAGGCAAATTAAAAAGTATGTATGTTGAAACATTCAAAAGCGAAAATGTAGATGATGTTTTTATAACACATGGGACGGCGTTGACGGACTGTCTAGCGCACAATTTCTAATCTCGAGTGGGTTTTTTTTATTCAAGTATTTAGGACGCACTCAGCTATTGTGAGTACCTGACTTGTGATGGGAAAGGTAACGGCGGCTAGACATAGAAATTATTACCACACTATGCCCTTATATGTCGTTGTCAAATTAACACACGAATTCTACTTATCTGTCCTATTGAAATGATAACTACTTTTTTTTTTACACTTCTTGTATCAAATATTACTGGCAAAGCGAGATATCTTCTAAAATATGAAGTAAAAAAAAACTTTAATAAGAGCATCAGAATAGGATATTTTAAATTATGAAATCAGGAATCAGATTGACAAAAAAAATTACGATACCATTGTTAACATGTTGTTGTCGTCGTGACTCAGTGGTGAGTAGAAGTGGACCAGAAATTTCGGGTGGTGCTGGTGCATGTGGAAGATGTCCCTCAACCATTTCAACCAGATCACGTGACGTGGTTCCGAACCGTGGCAGAAACGGTTGTAGTTTTTGTACGTTGGCGTGGCGGCGAGGTAGAACGGTCTCATGAAGTAGTCAGTCGGCTGGTGTTCGAACCCCAGCAGGCGCAAGTTAAAAGGTGCAATGTCAACATCGGCATCCGCCCAGGAAGTGACGTAACCACGGTTTTGGAATTCTTTCCAAATCCAAGGGAAATCATCTACTGGTTTGGATCCTGGGAAGTGTCTTCTGGCTTCGGGGAGTTCTGCTTCATGTTTCCCTGTTAGTATGGGAATCAGGGCGGCAGTGGTTGCGTCCCCTACTATGTTGTAACCTTTCAACTCTACTGCGCGTAGTTTGTTGACCATGAAGCTTCTAGTTCGAGGCATGCGCCGCAGCCAAGACATTCTCGACATGGAATCAAACACCAAGACTGCCACAGACATTCCGAGACCATCCAACGGAGGTTTGAGAACCTTCAGCCTGTCGAAAATTGTCTTGTTCTCGAAAATTCCAGCGTGTATATTCTCGTATTTGGAATTCTGAGATCTTGATTGGCATTTAATTTTAAAGAAATTTGAGATCAAGGGGAAAGAACTCCGGTCTATTCTTACAGGATCGCCGTATGATATGTTATAGTCTCCTGGTCCACGGAGCAAAGGGAAATAATCGCATGTGAACGCGCCGTGTTTGTTAATAGCAGAGTTGTCGAACCTTAAAGTACCGTTGTTTACGAAAACCCAATTGGGCTGAAAGTCGTCACAAGAAACTCGTTCATGCTTGTGGACGAACTTCATCATAACCGGGTCACCTTTATCCATCTTCAGATGGATATAAGCTTGGGAACCATCCACGATTGGGATCATTTTATGGATATTATGTTTAGGGGCTGACTGCATATGTCGATCAACCATCTGGTGTCGGTCTTGATAGAAGTAGATGAAGTCATCAGAACGAGGTTCTATGTTGTTTTGGTTTGGTCCAGGCATGACATCAAAAAGAAAGTAAACGACCAATATCAACAGCAACACGCATACAGTCTCAGTCAGGAAGTATTTCCGGTAGCATCGATACCGGTGTATTCGTAACAGCATTTTAGCAGGATCGAATCCACGAACACAAAGCTTAATACAGAGAAATCGTTATTGTATCCGATAAGATATATCTATCTATATATATAATTCTCCTCTTCGAGCCGTTAGAAAACAAGCTGCAAACGCTCTCCCTACCTCCCCACCCCTACATGGTTTTAGTGAGCTGTGTTCACTCTAAATGTTTACAAGCAGAGCCAACGATTTTAAACGTAAGGGGGGGGGGAGGAAGGGGGGGGGGGTTATGGTCCTTAACGAGCTACTTATAGTGTTTTAAAGAAATATTTTCAGTGTCAGCGTTGGTACTGTCGAATTCACAAATTATGAATTATTGAAAATTAGAAACAACTAAATAGCGGCGTATGTTATGCCGCGGGCCGGCTCGTATATATATAATTCTCTTCTGGGAGACATTAGAAAACAAGCTGCAAGTGCCCCTTACAGTCCCCTCTCTTTCTCTCTATCACTATCACTACCAACCTCACCCCACCCACACATTGTCTGGTGAGCAGTGTTCACTCTAAATGTTTACAAATCGTAGAGCTGGGTTTAGTTACGGCTATTAGGGGGAGATAATTTAGTTTGATACGATTTTAAAGTTAGAGGAGGTAACTAAGAGGAGGCTGCTTTCACGGGGGGGGGGGGGGTGTAGGGTCGGGGTTAGGGGAAAGGGGGGGGGGGTAGTGTTTTAAAGCAAATATTTTCAGTGGCAACATTGGTACTGTCGAATTCACAAATTAGGAATTACTGAAAAGCAGAAAATAAAACAACTAAATAGCGGCGTATGATACGCCGCGGGTCGGCTCGTGAAATATAATCGCATATGTTTTCATTGCTTGATCAAAGTGTGTATGAATTGGTGTTTAGTAAATGTAAAACCACATAAACTTGGATACTCATTATGCTGAATCACATATAAAAAGCGGTAATAGGGTTACTACACGTAGTGCTAAATCACAGAAGAAGAATCCAAAGCTAACATGAAACACAGATAAACTCTAGCAGTCGCTTGCTACTGTGATCGTCCTTTCCTACACATGGTGCTGGGTTTTAACGAAATGCTTCGAGGTCACCACGCATCACTGGGTTCAAACAGGTGAGGAGAGGGTGGGGGCGGTGGGGGAGGGACCTGAAACTGTGAGACATATCTCTCAGAGCGTAACGGTGTTTTTTTCTGTTTTTAAAGCAGGTCGCCGTAGCTTTACCAGGTCATGTGTATGTGTTGTTGTTGTGATATCTATTTTAGGACCAAAAGATATAAAAGTAGGCTCTAAGGTGGTCTCTATATTATAGGACATACATGTGGTCTCTTCAACTAGCACTCAAACACTCACGCAAAGACATATATCTGAATATATATATATATATATATATATATATATATATATATATATATATATATATATATATATATATATATATATATATATATAGGCCCTATATATACATATTATGGTGGATCAAAAGTGCGTCTCTATTATGTAGGTGCGGAAATTTATTGAATCATATTCATAATTTATCAAACGAACGCCGTCAGTCCGTGTTGACCAATCTTTCTACAGGTGTGTAAGCATACCTTTAAATCGCTCTTGGTACCTATCGATTTCAGACAGGTGCCAAAAAATAGAGACGTCATACTGTTTCTGTTCGAAAAGAAAAGTGTCACTAATTTCTTTAAACTCTTTAAATTTTTATTATTTAAATATTTTTCTTTGAAACGTTGAGGTTAATTAAAAATTTCTCGAAAATTAGTTCGACACTTGCAAGGCTATGCTGCCTTTTAAAAAAAAAACCAGTTAAATTAACCAAAGATATAGCTAATGTGTTCAATAGTTTCTGTTTTTTTTCTACATAAGCTGACGCCAACAATCAACTTAGGAACACAAAGGTTGAATGAAATCGACACAGTATCCGTGGTGTATGTTCATTATCATCAATTCGTTTATTTCAGAGTGTCGGCACTTCGGTACGTCTAATTATAGTAGCTATTTAATACAATCTGATATTTATACTGATCTACACTACCAGTTAAAATACGTAAAGACTTTCACTTTTGTATTCACTGTCCTTTTCTTTCAATTTCAATTTATTTATTTATTTCAATTTATTCAATAACGGTAACAATAGTAGAAAACAATCTTTCTATATAAGATACCGATATAAAGTTAAATGAATACTTGTACATAAGCATAATTATGTAACTACAGATGTTTATATATGTAAAACTATTTACTTATAAATGTACTAGCTGCATCCCGTGCTCCGCCACGGTAAATCTTTTTTAAATGTACCAACTTGGGAACAGAACAAAACTAAACACAACACAAACGAACGCAAAAAAAAAAAAAACAAAAAAAAAAACGAAAAAACAAACACAACACTCATAACATAAACACAATTTAAATGCAATCATAAAGGCATATTGCTCACAGTCTAGCCCGTAGCGCCAAATCGCGCCCTTTCCGGTGATTTGCACCCCCCTCAAACTTTCGATTTACACCCCTGTCCCCCCCCCCCCCGCCCTAAAACTTTCGATTTCCACCCCCCCCCCCCCTCGCAAATTTTTTCCAACCCAATTTGGCGCCCCCTAAGGTCGTCACCCGGGGACATATGCCCTCCCCTCGCTACGCCTCTCCTATAAAACCCCTAGCTTGTCCTCAAACCGAAAGATAGAATAATAATTAGTAAACAGTATAAATAATAAGCAGTATTTAAAATATCCGTGTTTTACCTACAAATTTCACTTTATCCATTCACGCATTTTTTTTCCAGTACTTTAAATTTTAAAAATTTACAATAGAGTTTCATAACTAAAACCATTGCGCACCTAATGAACGTGATGACGCGTCTATAATAGTGCTGAATAGTTGATTAAAAATTATAAGTAATAAACAGAAGGGCCTACATTCAGTGAATAAAATAAATAAAAGATTGCCTTTTATCAATCCATGCTAATTATAATTTTCTAACAATAATTTCCTCTTACACATCCACATAATTTGCATTCACATTTTGCTAATTATATTATTGCAACACTATTTCCTTCTATGACGAACGTATATTTGCTTTCACATTTTTTATTAGCGTGAGTTTAATGTATTTTTAAATTACCTCCTTTGTCAAAATTAGAAAAGAGTTAAATTCATTTGATTTTTCTAACCTACAGTTATTATGTTATTAAAATGTATCCACTTTTTCTAGGAATATTAACGAAATCTATATTTGACATTGATCCTTTTAATATGTTTTAGCAATGTGCGTGTATTTAATATTCTCTTTACGTTATGCAAAATTGTACAAACAGTGGAAATTATAAAATAGCTCTATGCCGCTATATAAACAAACCCTACTCTAATACTTATAATAAGACACTGCGGTGCACTGAAAAGCACAGCATGGTGCGTAGTTTACTTTTATAGTCCCAAAATCTATAGCGATGACGGAAGGAAGGAAGGAAGGAAGGAAGGAAGGAAGGAAGGACTGACACACTACCAGCAGCGTTATATTATAGATTTGTATATACATGTGAGACATACACTTATATACAGGCCTACTTGACCTATACAACTATGCATGTATACTTTTTTTTTTTGCCCTTTATAGCTTTTGTTTAAAAGGGCTTACGATTGATCTATACAACTATGCATGTATACATTTTTTGACCTTTATAATTATATCTTTTGTTTTGAAGTGCTAATGAAAGAACGCGTAACAGAAACGGGTTATATTTACTTGATAGCAAATACTATACTGCTTTTGACTGATTTCAACACTTTATCCTATACCAGCTACTTCCGCGTATCACACCAGTCCTGCAGTGAATAAAACGAATTTTGCCTGGACCTTTAAGGACGGTGATCCACTACAGCAGGGGCGTCTTGTGATAGGTCCTGCCACCATGACCTACACAGGTTCAGGTCATCATTGCTATCAAGGTCGATTCTCCTGCGAAGGTAAGATTTGTCTGGTAACTACAGCTAGTACAATACAGGCGGCTGTAGTATCAAGGGTATGGTCGGATTAAGTATGGCTTATGGGCGTTTATTGGGCTTTTTCCTTTATGGGCGTTTCTTGGGCTTGATTGCTTATGGGCGTTTATTGGGCTTCTTTACTTATGGACGTTTGTTGGGCTTCTTTACCTATTATACTGTGTGTATTATTTAGTGTCGGTATAGGTTACCAATTTTAGGTTCTTAATTATCTAAGAACCCCTGGTACCAATGCAAGCATTCTCAAAGATTGGTTACGTATTCGTTTTGTCCTGTCCCTTAGGTCTATCAGCTATGTGGAGAGAGGTTAGGCTTTACACATGGACAACATCTGGCTGTTCTCGACTTAGGGCCCTGGTTTTGTGCTGAGTTTCTCCCCCCCCCCCCCCACCCCCGAAAATTTCAAGTCCTCTCCACCCCCCCCCCCCCCCCCCCCCCGGGAAAAAAACAAGTCTGGAAGAAACACTGATTTCCATTGCGCAATCATCCAATGGTTTATCAGACTATGGAGCCATATAAATAGTAGTGAAAGCAATAAGCCTAGACTTGTACACTGGAGAATCATTTAACTTTTTAAAGCAAGCCAACAAATATCAGAAAAGCCTCCCTTAGTGGTCATTCATGCCACGACTTGACTGGAATCATATTATTCTTGTCATCAAGGTTGAGACGCTTTGACGCTTGATGGTGGGTAACCACACAATCTATGAGAGAAAGGATACAGATGAGTCACCCTTGTATACTGGTATATACCACTGCTCATCTCTGCATCCACCAGTCACAAATGGATCTCTTGCAGGTAACACAAATCACAGGCATCCACCCGGTGGCGCCACTAGGTCGGGTGTCACCCGCTGTGGTAGCTGATGGTGTTACTCCAACAACACTTGCATTTTTCGTTCTATTGTT